TTTAGCTCGTTTGTTGTTCTCTTCCACGTTGTTGCCCCCTCTTGGTTTGTCTCTGTTTCTGGCGTTGCGAACGTCAAGGTCTTGTGAACTTCTCGGCCATTCTCTCCAATGCATAGAAGAAAGTATGAGCATCTTTCCTCTTCAGACCGTCCTTTCATTCCTTTCAGCTCAGTCTTCTCGAAGAGCGTCCAGTGCTCCTCAAACTTGCGAAAGTTTTCACTGACGTTCCCGTCTAATTTCAAAGGTTTAGGCGCTGCCCATTGAAGGTTTCCTGATGCCATGTTTACTGCTTTTTATGGCATCCCACTCCTGACACCATGTAATGCTTCTATGTGCTTATAGAAGATTTATTCATAAGTAAAAGATATACGTCTGATTATGTCTAGGTGTTCTGGCGAGTCCTTCAGGTTCCTATTACAATTACATGTGCTAGTGATTTATGATGTGAACTGTCAATCAACCTAATTGATGTATGTATATAGCTACTATATATGAGCATATATTACAGCACTCAGTCCTCGATACAGATCATTCCTGTCCTAATGACAAAGACAAGTACAATTTAAGAGATCTCAAAGCTTTCCACAAAATTCGTCACGAGTTGACTGTTACTACAAACAATGATATTATCCTCAGAGGTGCTCGCATTGTGATGCCCACTACTATGCGCCGCCGAGTTCTTGAACTAGCCCATGAAGGACATCAAGGGCTTATCAAGACAAAACGATTACTTCGCGAAAAGATATGGTTCCCTCGCATTGATCAACAAGCAGAAGAAATGATAAAGCACTGCTTTCCTTGCCAAGCTGCAAATCCTGAAAGCAAGTTAGAACCGCTTAAAATGTCACCCCTACCATTGGGCCCCTGGCAAAATGTTGCTGCAGATTTCTATGGCCCACTCCCCACTGGACAAACCCTCATGGTTGTTATTGATGAATATTCGCGTTTCGTAGAAATTGAAATCGTCTCCTCTACCTCTGCTGCAGCTGCTATACCCAAACTTGACAAAATTTTTGCAACCCACGGCATCCCAGACCTGTTAAAAACCGACAACGGTTCACCATTTACCAGCAACGCGTTCAAAGTCTTTGCCACAGAACTGGGTTTCAAACACCGGAAGATCACACCGTTATGGCCAAAATTGTCCGAACCAAGCGCGCCAAAAGAAAGAGATGAGGGAGGAGAAGAGGAGAGAGAAAAAAGAAAATTCCGAACTGAATGACCAACCAGTCAACATGGACAGTCGTTGATATCCTGTTAGTAGTAGAAACACAGAGCCAAATTACAAACCATAAACATGGGAACTGTTTATTCACTGACATGGTGAACTATCTGACATTGTCCAAACCTATTGTATATATATATATACACATTTACATTAACTGAACTAACAATTGAAATTCATATTTATTTAAGGATGAAAGGGATGTAATGTTCAGTTAATAAGTAACCCGCATAAAGGCGGGAAACAGACATAAGCTGGGTCACGTGGAAATGGACACATGAAACAGGACACTAGGAATGTTATTAAATAGCACGGTTATAGTTTGAGTTCATAGTATTAAGAGTTATATCAGTCTAAGTAAAAAGATACAATTTTATAATTGAGTTTTTGAATAATTATATAGTGCCAAGCGAGTTTTTGTATGCAATTGTGCAGAAAGATCATTATAGTAACTAATTAGTAACGCTTGATACTCTTTAGGATCATGTGGAATGTAATTAGCACTTAAAACGTTTTGGACATTTATTTTAGTGGTGGTTCTTTTTCTATTTTGGTATATGACAATCTTTGGGCACCCAGCAACAGTTGCAGTAGCTATTTAAATATAATATGCAGCATGTCTCGACTGAACATAACTCATTATTTGACAACGCACCGTTGCCGTTCTACTGAAGCTAAGAGCAAACCCAGAAATCTAGGTAAAGAGTAAAGAAGGTGGTTTAAGAAAATTTATTTTAAAATGAGTTTGCGATATAAGACACGTGTTAGTACAGCCACGCGAATGTTGGTGTACTTCGAAATAGATAAAAGCACGTACGTGCATTCAAGGGACGAAGTTTATGTGGCAATGCACTGATAGAAGGGGTTGCAGTTATGATAGACTACGCAAAACAAGAGGCTGACATGCAGGCTACAATAATCAAACTCAATGGTAAGAGTTTTTTCAATATATTATTCATAGTTGCTTTCTTCTATAATTATATTGTTTGAGTAATAAGAGTAATATTGATTGAGTAATAAGATAGACACAATACGTCTTCGAGAATACAAAGCTTTCCCATTGTATTGCTTTCCAACCTTCTGAATACATTTAAAAGCGCAAAATTCTTGTTGATTCTGATTTTTAAAATATAGTATTTGCATTCGAATTCCGCCGTGAATTGCTTGAATTTCTTGAAGTCTCACTTCGCCCACACAACCGCGGTTGAACCGCGGTGTAACCGCGAGCGATCCGTGGTTCAACCGCGAGCGAACCGCGGTTCACCCGAGGTCAAACCGAGGTCGGCCCGAGGTCGAACCTAGAATGACCCGCGCGCGGTTCAACCGCGTCGACCCGCGGTTAACAGCGGTTTTTGTCAACTTATTTCTAGGCAGTACTGTAGGAATTTTAGACGGCCACATTTTAACAGACTTTTTTCCGGCTTGAAACCTCAATTTAAAATTAGCTAATATTGGGCAATAAATTGAATTTTGACATAAATAGCTAAAATAGGCGGCCATAGACCTTATTCATAAATGGCAATCGGTGCCTCGTATTAGGGGAACGGGAATAAACGCGGAAAAACAAGCGAAAGCTGCTTCACAAGCCAAATTCAGACGCCATCATGTGTTGACTTTGACCGCGTGTTTCTTATTGCTTATTTCGATTTATAACGATTTTCGTGTGTAGCTATTTTAACATGCCTACAGCGAAAGCTATAAACGAGTATATATATATATATATATATATATATATATATATATATATATATATATATATATATATATATATATATATATATATATATATATATATATATAACGAGTATATCTCCTGTTTTTTGTGTGGAGAATGTGAAAATATGACAATGTAGCGATGGTCAGAAGCAAACGAAAGTTTATTTTTATAATTTGACATTAGATCAAAAATCACGAGAAAATATCTCCAATGTTATTGATTCGCATGGAAAAATATGAACTACGCCTGCATGTGGCTCGAGAACAATTTTTCACTTGTTGCCCGGCGGATATACACTGCATAACAAAAATGCTTATTTATTAACTAGTTACAACTATACATTATTTGAAATTCCTTTCCTGCGATAATAAGATAAAATTGTCATTAGAGTCATTTGGTTCCCTCCCCTTAAGATATAGGTAAGTTTTTTTTTACCAATTACACGTCTATATATAAAGTCAATGTCATCACTTAATATGTTATAATTTATCAAAATTTGCTTGCATCATTGTGTTTCTTGACGAATACACAATGGAGAATGAAATTCATTAAAATGAGTATGTCGTCAAAGCATCTTTCACCAAAGCACATTTATAATGTTCCCTCTCATCCCTAGTAGCGTCAGCAAGGACCGTGGGAATATTACCACATAAAATGTTTTATCAATCATTGTTATTGTAACATCAGGGAGTTAATACTTCCGGCGGGAAAAACAGGCACCTCGAGGTGAACTGGACAGCTGTATTAAAAAGGGAGTTTTACGTAGCATAGTTGGGTTTTAAGGTTAAAATACTACATTTGGCGACGAGATAAAATGGCAAATCATGGAAAACTAGAAGAATATGACTCACAAGAGGAATGGAGTCAGTATATTGAGCGGTTAGAATTTTATTTCGAAGCAAATGGCGTCGACGACGAAGATAAACAACGAGCGATATTATTGAGTGTTTGTGGTAGCAAGACGTATAAGTTGATTCGGAACTTAACTACGCCAGGAAAACCGTCAGAGAAGACGTTTGCAGAGTTAGTAGAACTTGTACAACAACATCAACACCCAAAACCTTCGGCAATAGTGCAACGATTCAAGTTTAATACTCGATTCAGGAAACCTGGTGAGTCAATTGCTTCGTATGTAGCTGAATTAATTAGAAGTCTTTCAGAACATTGTGATTTCAAGAGTACCTTAGAAGAGATGTTACGTGATCGGTTGGTGTGTGGAATAAATGACGAACAGATTCAGCGTAGATTGTTAGCAGAAAGTTCTCTCGACTTTAAGAAAGCCATGAAAATAGCTACATCAATGGAGACTGCAGTAAAGAATGCACGAGATTTAACACATCAGATGGCCAATGCAAATATAAATACTGAGAAACCTGCAACATTACACCGTGTGGACAACCAAAGACAAGGAAACCAACAATGGTCAAAGCCTGAATATGGTCGGTGTGGGGGTAAACATGACCCTCAACAATGCAAATTTCGCGATGCTGAGTGTTTCCTGTGCCACAAGAAAGGACACATAGCAAGAAAATGTCGAAGCAACACTAAGGCGACTGGAAAAAATCAACGAAACGAGAACCCTAACTCAGGCACTAGCAGCAATTATTTAAACATGAAGGATGACGAGATCGAAGAGGAAGATGACAACTATGGGATTTATAGTCTGGGCAAAGAGCAAGCTGAGCCATATGTTGTTGATGTACTGGTGAGCAATGAAAGTCTAAAGATGGAAGTAGATACTGGTGCTGCAGTTAGTGTAATGAATGAGGATACATATACATTATTGAAGAAAAAACACCCAAACCTAGAGCTGAAGGAATCAAAGGTAAGACTAAATACCTATACGGGAGAGCAAGTTAAAGTGTTGGGTCAGGTGGAGACATCGGTGAAGTATGAAGATCAAGAAGGCATATGGCCTTTACTAGTCATAACAGGGAAGGGCCCCAACTTGATTGGCAGAAATTGGCTCCAAAAGATTAAAATAAATTGGAAGAATTTATTTCAGTTAAAAGAGGACAAGAATACCTCAGTCAAAGTTAATAAGTTACTTGAGAAGTATGAGGAAGTGTTTCATGAAGAGTTAGGAACATTTTCTGGTCCCAAAGCCAAAATATATGTGGCTGATGATGCAAGTCCAAAGTATTACAAGGCAAGACCTGTTCCCTATGCATTGAGGGAAAAAGTAGAAAAGGAGTTAGAAAGATTGCAAGAAGAGGGAACTATAGAGCCTGTCCAGTTTGCAGATTGGGCAGCGCCAATAGTACCAATCGTTAAGGATGATAAGTCGATAAGAATTTGCGGGGATTATAAAGTAACTGTCAACCAAGCTGCAAAGTTAGACAATTACCCGATTCCCAAGGCAGAAGATCTTTTTGCCACTTTAAGTGGTGGAGAGAAATTCACCAAGCTGGACATGAGTCAAGCCTATCAACAAATCTTATTGGAGGATGAATCAAAAAAATATACTACAATCAACACACACAAAGGACTTTTTCAGTACAATCGATTGCCATATGGAGTGTCCTCGTCCCCTGGGATTTTCCAGCGTACTATGGAAAACCTACTGCAGGGGATTCCTTTCGTGGTTGTGCGAGTGGATGACATTTTGGTCTCTGGTTCGAATGATGAGGAACATTTAGCAAATTTAGAAGAGGTTCTAAAACGGTTGTCAGAGCATGGGTTACGCCTAAAGAAGAAGAAGTGTGCCTTCATGGTGAACGAGGTGGTGTATTTAGGCCAGAAGATAAATAGCCAAGGAATACAACCAATCCAAGAGAAAGTCAGAGCCATCACCGATGCACCGGCACCGACAAATGTGTCTGAAGTTCGATCATACTTGGGAATGATCAACTATTACCAAAAGTATTTACCAAATTTATCAACGATTCTGGCACCACTGCACAGCCTGTTGGAAAAAGCTGGAAATGGAGTGAAGTGCACCAAGAGGCATTTAGAAAATCCAAAGAGTTATTGAAGTCCTCACATCTATTGGTGCATTATGACCCGGGGAAGGAGTTAATACTGGCTTGTGATGCCTCACCATATGGCTTGGGGGCTGTTTTGTCACACCGGATGGAAGACAACACAGAACAACCAATTGCATTTGCCTCGAGATCATTGTCCGCAGCTGAAAAAACTATTCTCAACTAGACAAAGAGGCACTAGCCATCGTATTTGGTGTCAAGAAATTTCACCAGTACGTGTATGGTCGACATTTCACCATACTGACAGACCACAAGCCGCTTGAGCGGGTAGTTCATCCGGATAAAATGACACCACCAATGGCTGCAGCTCGAATTCAGCGGTGGGCATTAATTTTGTCTGCGTATGACTACGCCATTCAGTACAAAGAAGGAAGTCAGAATGCAAATGCTGATGCCCTCAGTAGATTACCATTGCCAGACACCCCAGGTTCAACACCAGTTCCTGAAGAAACAATCTTACTCATGGAACTATTGGAGACTACTCCAATAAGAGCAGAGCAAGTGAAGAACTGGCAAAGAGAACTCCTATACTTGCTAGAGTTTTGAAATTTATTAAACAAGGTTGGCCTAGCAAGTGTCCAGATGGGGAGTTTCAACCATATTTTCAACGACGAGACGAGCTGAGTGTTCAAGACGACTGTATACTTTGGGGAAACAGAGTGGTTGTTCCACCCCAAGGAAGAAGGCAAGTGGTTGACGAATTACATGAAACCCACCCAGGAATATGTAAGATGAAACGTCTAGCAAGAAGCTACGTGTGGTGGTCAAACATGGATAACGATTTGGAAAACAAAGTACGAACGTGCAACAACTGCCAGATAAATAGAAAGAATCCTCCTGAAGCGCCACTGCACTCGTGGGAATGGCCAAGTCGACCATGGGAAAGAATTCATATTGACTATGCTGGTGCATTCTTGGGGAAAATGTTCCTCGTCATGGTCGATGCGTACTCAAAATGTCTCGAAGTGCATCCAACGAATGTGGCAACATCGAGAGCAATTGAAAAACTTCTATCAACATTTGCAATCCACGGCCCTCCTACAACAATCGTTAGTGATAACCGTAGTAATTTTTGCAGTGAAGAATTCGAAGAATTTCTGGCGAAAAACGGCATTCATCACAGAAGGACTGCTCCTTATCATCCAGCCTCCAATGGACTTGCAGAAAGGGCGGTCCAGACGTTCAAGGAAGGGATGAAGAAGATGTCAAATAAGGAAAGTTTGGAAACCAGAGTGTCTCGGTTTCTCTTCAAATACCGTATCACGCCACACTCAACCACAGGGATAGCGCCAGCGGAAATGCTTGTGAGCAGAAAACCAAGATCTCGCTTGGACGTACTACATCCTCATGTAAGACAAAGAGTACAGAACCAACAGAAGAAGCAGAACGAGTTACACGATCAACATGCAGTGGATCGACAATTACGACCAGGTGACTTAGTATATTCGAGAGAATTTGGAAAACAACAAAAGTGGTGTCCAGGAGTTATCAATACACAAACCGGGCCAGTTTCTTATACCATCCAGTTGGAAGACGACCTGGCAGTTCATCGTCATCAAGATCAGGTGATTCAAAGAGAAATACCCGAAGAAAACGAAAATGACGCCATGAATCCAGATCTCAACGAGCAACCCGTTCCAGACCAACAAGTGGTTAGCGAAGAAAATGCAGTCCCAGCAACCCGATATCCGCAAAGAATATTTACATTAATTTTAGAGTATAAAACACTAATGGATTATAAACTGTTAGGTTAGAGTGTTGACATTATTAGTTTAGTTGTTATGTTGCAGGGACTTTGGTTTAATCCAGGGAAAAAGGAGTGTAACATCCGGGAGTTAGTACTTCCGGCGGGAAAAACAGGCACCTCGAGGTGAACTGGACAGCTGTATTAAAAAGGGAGTTTTACGTAGCATAGTTGGGTTTTAAGGTTAAAATACTACAGTTATAAATTATATATATAGCATATAGAGGTGTGCAAATCCGATCCGATCGGATTCGTTCGGATTTCGGAACAAAAATATACATTTCGGATCGGATTGATAAAGTTGTTTCATAGTCGGATCGGATCGGACTTCGATGTTCGAAATAAAATGAATTAATTATCCACGCATTATTGCAAGAATTAATTACCCATGCATTTATCAAAGCATTTTTCGTTTGATACTTCAATTGGACGTCACTTTGTCAGCCTCTTGACATGTATTTCTTGTTTTTATATTTATTTGGTTAAACATTTCAACTTGAATGAGAAATTTATTTTGTTAAAGGATTCTTCGGATCGGATCGGATTGAAATTCTTTATCACAACTCGGATTGGATTCGGATTAGACAATTTCGGATCGGATTTTAAACATTAGCCAATTGTCGGATTATAAACGTCCAATCCGATCCGATGCACACCTCTAATAGCATACTTCCTTGACGGACATGGACTTGAAAACGAGGTGAATTTAATATACCGTTCAATGAAACACAAGCCGCAGGTCATGCGTCTAGCTGTACCAGTTGCGTATAAATATTCACCAAGCAGTCCAAGCTTGGACTTTTTGAGTCATTGAGTGGGGGGTGAGACCATATATTACGACGTGAAAAACTCAAGGCTAGTTTGATGTTTAAGATACTAATTTGAAAGGGCATTTGCCCTCTTACTCACAAAATCTTTTCTCTGTTCGTGACCGCGGTGTATAATTTCAGGAATTCTGAAGTCAAGTTAAACTTACGCAAGCCACGTACCATTGGTACCCGCCGAAGCCTGTGTTATATTGGGGCACTATTGTGGACTAATTTACCTCAGCTAGGATATACGTAGTTCAATTATTATCGCAATTTAAGAAAACTAAATAAACGATTATTATAATAACTTGCATGACTTCACTCCCACACGGCGCCGGCAATCTTGTAAACCAGTTTAAATTTTATTTTATTTGAAATTTATGTACTGAAGATTTACCAAGGTTAATCAAATAAAATTTTATTGTATTGTATTGTATTGTATTGTATTGTATTGTATTGTATTGTATTGTATTGTATTGTATTGTATTGTATTGTATTGTATTGTATTGTATTGTATTGTATTGTATTGTATTGTATTGTATTGTATTGTATTACTAATTACGAACTTTTAGAAGCAAAACGTGACTGAACCTGTAAGATAAACTCTTTCAAAGATCATACAAGTAAAAGTGTTATGCCTCGGTAGTTTGTTTTATTCAGGATTTTATCTATTAAACCTGTTTCCTACCGCTTTTCATCATTGAGATGATGAGCGGAAATGCCATTTCCTGCAATTTCTGGCACTAAATTTTAAACCGAAGCGACTCGGATGCTAGCGAAGGCAAGCAAATTAAACGAGGAAGAAGTGTGTTCACACGAAGAACGAAGGCGATTATAAAATGAATTGCAAAGACTGTAGTAAATTATCTGTAGAAGTAGCAGAAATGAAATTGGACTTGGCATTATTATTCCTAAAAGTTAATACTGCTGAAGCTCCCGCTACATGTGAATGCAATCGGCTACGAAACGAAATGACGGTTCATAATGTGCTTTCCACACATCCAATATATCATGTCAGATTACTAACCGTTTCCCATCAACTTCAAGACAGATCGTTGTGAATATTTCTCGCTTTTAATCTTCGAAATTTTGCGTAAGAATTAACACCTCTCAGTTTCATGCATTTTCTCTAGTTTAGCTACCCTGGATTCCAGAGCCTTCAGTAAATAATAAATTGAAACGTAGTACAGATTCTGTACTAAAACCACTAATTCTGTTTTGTGATTGGCGCGGTTTAATCAAAGAATCCTCCCGTTGAACCAGAGCCTTCACGACGTTTCAATTTATTATTTACTGGAGGCTCTGGAATCCAGGGTATAGTTTAGCGATCGTGACTAAAACACCACACGAGTAACATACGAGTAACACACAAGTACATACGAGTACATACGAGTAACACACAAGTACATACGAGTAACATACGAGTACATACGAGTAATACACGAGTAACATACAAGTACACACGAGTAACATACGAGTACACACGAGTAACATACGAGTAAATACGAGTACATACGAGTAAAATACGAGAATTAGCACGCTTTCTTTGAAGTTTCTTTCACTTTCACACTTTCACTTTCGTATTATGTTCATGTTGTAAATGCCTTAACATAGGCGTACGAGACAGGGGGGCGGGGCAACTGCCCCCAGAGCCGCCGAGAGCTTGGCGGGGGCCCGGGGCAAATTTTTTTTAGGGGCCCTTATTTCAAAAATTTTTCCGGAAAATTTTTTTTAGGACAACAACCCCTCCCCCGTCGACAACTTTTTAGGGAAAAAAAAATTTACGGACGAGTACGATGTAATTGCTTTCCAGCGACTTTACCTCAATTTTTCATACAAAATTTCGTTACTTTGCCAAAAACAACAAATATCTTGCCCTTTGCGCGGAAATATTTCTTCCAAAAAAAATGACTGGGGCCCAACAAAAATTACTGGCCCGGGGCAATTTGCCCCCCTCTCGGCGGCTCTGACTGCCCCCCCAAATTTTGGAAAACAGTGGAAATTCGAGCAAACGCTAGGAAAAATCAAGAAAATTCGGGCAGATTTATGAGAAAATATGTTAAAATCTTGCGAACGGGCTGTCAGGTTCGAAAGGCGGTGCTTTTATATAAGCTAATAATAGATCTTAAATAAACTGAAAAACATACAAGCCATACAAATACAAATCATCTTTATGTTGTTATTATATGTTCGACTATAGGAGTATTATTATCATTATATCATTATATGACATATTAATGTAATGTAGTGAAATAATTCAACTAAAACACAGATCAACGCTTGGGCTCCTGTGTTTAGTTTTGAAGAAGTGTTTTATGGGGAGACAATAAAAGTTTATAGCATTGATATAAAGAAGATGGTATAGAGACAGTGGCGTAGCCAGCGTAAAAGGCGTGAGCCATTTTAGGGGCAAGTCTAGGGGCATGCTCCCCCCAGAATATTTTGAAATCTAGGGTCCTTGAAGTGCGATTTCCTGCATTTTCGGGGTGTGAGTTTGCATCAGTCCGAAGACTGTATAATGCATAAAATACATGATTTTTCGTGATGAAAAATGATGGGTTAAAATAGTGCAAATTACTTTTAAAACCGAATGATTGAAAGTAAATATATTTTACATTTAAAAACCTAAAGTAAACCCTTTCTTCTTGGGGCCATATCTACTTACTTAGACAAGGTTATACACAATTATATTGTGGATTTGGATTCTTATTTCACCTCCCCCCCCCCCCTTAATTGTTGGCTAAATCCTGTCCAGCATCCCCAAGTTGAAGGTCCTCTCTACGCCCCTGGTTGTGAAGAGCACACAAAAGAATAGGATGGGAAGAACTACCATACGGCCATACTATGTTCTTCTTAACTTTTATGTTGGAGAGGCGTGGACTACATTAGTTTAAACACATTAAAAGGGAGGGTTATTTTTATTATGCTGCTTGAATTTTAGAGAACGGGGCTGATGTTTTCTGGGGGGGGAGGGGCAGTTGAAAGTTTGCCCGAATTTTTATGGAGCCAGTTGTACGGAAATAACCTGATTTTAATTTTAACATATTTTCTCATAAATCTGCCCGAATTTTCTTGATTTTTCCTAGCGTTTGCCCGAATTTCCATGATTTTCCAAAATTGGGGGGGGGGGGCCCCAAATTGAACACCCATGTCAACAAGGCATTTACAACACGAACATAATACGAAGCCAAAGTGAAAGTGTGAAAGTGAAAGAAACTTTAAAGAAAGCGTGCTAATTCTCTATTTTACTCGTATGTACTCGTATTTTACTCGTATGTACACGTATGTTACTCGTGTGTACTCGTATGTTACTCGTGTGTACTTGTATGTTACTCGTGTGTTACTCGTATGTACTCGTATGTTACTCGTATGTACTCGTATGTTACTCTATGTACTCGTATGTACTTGTGTCACAGAATATGCTTGTGTGTTACTCGTAGCGAGATCGTAAAACTTTTATGTTTTGAAAGCCCAAAACGCCGCACGTGACCTACACGTGACTGCATCAATACGCGTGACTGCCACTCAGTGCGCGTGACATTTGTTGATGTTTGTTCACCTGCACCAAGGTAGCGGTCAACAAGATACCTATTCTATAAATAATTCGCCAAAACATCTGCGTGCTTTACTATTCACTGAGATTGTTTGAAGAGGAAAAGGTGATAAAGAAAATGTATGTATTTTTTATATAACAGAAAATCTATACGATCTACAAGGTTAAAATTGTTTTATCTGTATTTAATTTATAAAATTATTATAAGTGTGGCCGTATTAGAGAGTTTAAGACTATCTACGACGCGGCCGGCTCAACGACGCGCATGCGAAAGAAATAAATTTGTCATGCAAGACAAAAATTGTGAATAATTTACGGTCCCATGGGTATTCTCAATGGCTTTGTCATTCGCAGCACAACGTTAAACTAAGCATTATCACGTCTTTAGTAGTCGAAATTACAGCAAACATTTCATCGCTTTAGTCGAACGTAAATCGAATTGCTATAGCGCTCATGCATTCTTGAGCTGAAATTCAGACCGCGTCGTTGAGCCGGCCACGTCGTAGATCTTAAACTCTCTATTTATTTCAAAACCATACTCTGAGACAAGAAAAATTAGTTTCATATTATTCCGACACTGTAGAGTACAACGCAATATTCGGCGGTTAGAAACCCGAAGATGCGAGTTCGAATCCCGCTTGAGCCAACGAATCTTTCACTATTTAAGTGACTGGGACTATACCGCTTTGAATTCTGCGTCATAGGATGAATCATCAGTCATCACAGGGTGTGTATGCTGTATAACGGTTCATAATGTGCTTTCCACACATCCAATATATCATGTCAGATTACTAACTGTTTCCCATCAACTTCCAAGACAGATCCTCATGCATCTTTCTCGCTTTTTATATTCCAATTTTTGCGTAAGAATTAACACCTCTCAGTTTCATGCATTTTCTCAAGCATGTTCAGTTTAGCAAGATCGTATTATAACATAGCATCTGCGTGCTTTATTATTCACTGAAATTGTTTGAAGAGGAAGGGGTGATAAAGCTAGAAGATATCTGTGGCTTTTAGAAAAACAGAAAATCTATACGATCTACAAGGTTAGAATTTTTTATCTGCATTTACTATATGGCAAGCCAACCTCGTACCCAGGCTCTTTCCACTACGCGCCTCGCTGGAGGAAAGACCCTGGTCCAGGCTGGTCACGTGTCTCCCAGATTTTGGGAGATAACAAAATTTTTACATAAGGGTGGGGGATCGTGACTAAAACACCACACGAGTACATACGAGTAACATACGAGTAACACACAGGTACATACGAGTACATACGAGTAACACACGAGTACATACGAGTAACATACGAGTACATACGAGTAACATACGAGTAACATACGAGTACATACGAGTAACACACGAGTACATACGAGTAAAACACAAGTACATACGAGTACATACGAGTAGAATACGAGTAAAATACGACTAGTAAACTTGTTTTTAGTGTTTGTAGATTGAATACAGGCAAAAAGGTCAACATGAGCTCCACCTTTGAATTTACTATATGAGTAAATTCTTAAACACGTCCGAATTTATCATTATGATAAATTCGCGGCACATTTTGAATTTATCAATAGAGTTAATCATAAAACCACAATCATTGCACAAGGTTTCTTGTTATAAATGTAATGGAACTAAACGGGAGGCTGGTCCCGCAGGGGCGGGGAGTTTTTCATGTTTTTTTTAAAAAATAGTTTTTAAAAGAGTTTTGAAAAGCAAGAAAAGTTTAAAAAGTTAGATTTTTAAAAAAGTTAAAAAAATTTAAAAAGTTAAAAAAATGAGGGTTAGGGGTTAGGGGTTAGGGGTTAGGTGTTAGGGGTTAGAGGTTAGTGGTTAGGGTTGGGGTTAGGGTTAGTGTTAGGTGCCGCGAATTTATTATTATGATAAATTCAAAATTTGCCGCGAATTTATCATAATAGGGAGCTTTAGATTTGACTACGAGTACGACTACGAGTACGAGATTTGTCAAGCTAAACGCATGCTGTATGCTTACGCCATCCCGTACTGACGCTAAAAAGTCGTAGCCGTCGCCCATCTGAGTACGAAATTGTGGAGAAACCTCGTAGTCCTCACGACGACTTTTCAAGAAAAAAACAAAGGAAGTTGGCTTTTTTTTTTTTCCAAAAATAATTTGTAGCATTTATATAGCGTTTATCCGGCGCAAATAATATATTAGTACTAAATATCTGGCCTGTTTTTAATGTTATGACTTATTTACACGTTTTGTAGGGGATTTTAGTCAGCAGGAGATTTAGTTTATGAAACTTTTTCTCTCGTTGTTGATTTACTGTTATAAAAGCAACATTTGAATGGATACGAGAACGACTACGGTAACTTCCTCGCACGCGATCAAATCTCGTACTCGTAGTCGTACTCGTAGTCAAATCTAAAGCTCCCTAATGATAAATTCGGACGTGTTTAATTAAATTTACTCATATAGTAAATTCAAAGGTGGAGCTCATGCTGAAAAAGATCGTCTTCTCTGTCGAAAAACGTGAAATACACTGAAACCGGCTATCTTTAAAACCCGGAACGGGGAATGGGGGGACGGGGAATGGGGAATGGGAGAACTGGAAGTGGGGGAATGGGGAACGGAGGGAATGGTGGGGCGAGGGGGGAGGAAATAAGAGACGGGGGGCGGGAGAGGTCTGCCAGATTCTATAAACCACAACTTTGTATGCTTGTGATGTTACTCTGAGTGTATATCCACACCGGGCAAGCTTGAAAAATATGCCTGACCACGGTGGGAATCGAACCTACGACCTTTGGAATGCTAGCCCAAAGGTCGTAGGTTCGATTCCCATCGTGGTCATGCATATTTTTCAAGCTTGCCCGGTGTGGATATACACTCAGAGTAACATCACAAGCATCTTATTCACCTGAGTACATTGCACCAACACAGAAAATATCATTATTACTAGATTACATTGATATCGAAGGAACTAGATTCTGTTCCGAAATATCACATACTCGAACCGACCAGACCACGTAGCTCAGTTGGCAGAGCATTGGGCTAGCATTCCAAAGGTCGTAGGTTCGATTCCCACCGTGGTCAGGCATATTTTTCAAGCTTGCCCGGTGTAGATATACACTCAAAGTAACATCACAAGCATCTTATTCACCTGAGTACATTGCACCAACACAGAAAATATCATTATTACTAGATTACATTGATATCGAAGGAACTAGATTCTGTTCCGAAATATCACATACTCGAACCGACCAGACGACGTAGCTCAGTTGGCAGAGCATTGGGCTAGCATTCCAAAGGTCGTAGGTTCGATTCCCGCCGTGGTCAGGCATATTTTTCAAGCTTGCCCGGTGTGGATATACACTCAGAGTAACATCACAAGCATCTTATTCACCTGAGTACATTGCACCAACACAGAAAATATCACAACTTTGTAGTTTGTACAACATCTACTTTTAGGTATTCTACCTAGATAGTTAGATACATGACACAAACCATTGGCTTCACATATAGTTCACGGCATGGTTTGCTTTCAAAACCCTGTGAGCATGCACATAACCTAACTGCATCTATACTTAAATATAGCACTAGGTGATAAACTTACAATCCTCACATAGCCTCAATCACAACATGTGGCTAGGCAAATATACGAACTACACGTATACCGCGACATATGACAGTTCCGAGACCGAAATACAGGACAACAGGACCTTTTTTAATTTTTTCCCCGTGGGGGGTATTTTTTGAAAAGGGACCTTAGATAATATATTAGAGGGGGTAGCAATGGCCGACTGCCACGTGTGTGGCCGACATACTCCCCCAGAAAATGTTTGAAATTTGAACTTTTCAAATGCAATTTCCTGCTTTATGAGCATCTAAATTTGCTCTAAAATGTATGATAATTATACTTGTATTTGAAATAAAAGAAGGAAAAAATGCAGAAAAAATAAAAGAAATATTAACAGTAATTTATCCATTACTTATTATTAAAGGGGGATAGCAATGGTCATGGGTCACGTGTGTGGCCGACATACCGCGAATGAATAGGGGGTCTGGGGGAGTTAATTTTTAGAAAGGAAATTTTTAAAATTTCAAGTCCAAAAATGCCATTTCCTGCCGTCTGAGCATCTAAATTTTCTAAAATCTATCCTAACTATATTCTATTTGAAATAAAAGAAGGAAAAAACGCGCAAAGAATTTAAAAAATATTAACAATAATTTATCATTACTTAGTGTTTGAAACACGTAGGATGCGCAGGCGGTGACACAGTCCTTTAAATCGATTTTGTTAAACAAGGACAAAGGATAAAGCCTAAAACTTACGTTCCGTTTATCAATTTGTTATTCTTCGCTGGTTTGTTTGTATAAATTTAGAAAAAGGAACTTTTCCTGGGGGGGGGGGCAAAATGTGATTTCGTGGGTGGAGGGGGGGAGGGGACTGGAGGGCAAATGCCCTCCCCCAGCTTGTATGTTAAAAAAGGCCCTGCAGGACAAATCCACTTTTCAAGTGAGCCTCAGAACGTGCATTTTCATTTCGGATCAGCCTGCATCAGAGCAAAGTATCCAAGCTTTCTTGGCGACGTTCTCGTTCCTCCAGACTTTCCTCCCCTTTTCAAGGTGGAGCACGTCCAAAGGCTTGCAGGAGAGTTCGGCTGGGTCCTTTAGAAACGTACTTGCCAACTTAAATTGCTAGCTTAAAATCTGCGTATTTTGAAGTATTTTGTGTTTTGTTAGTTTTGCTTTGTAAGATATTTAAAATAGGATAATCACTTTAAGATATCATATGGAGCATAAGGACTGCCTTGGACTTGCATCTAGTCCTTAAGTTTGTTTTATTATATAGCAAGTATATTAGTAATGACATAAGCAATGTTATTATTATTAATATTACTTAATGATCGGACATAAGCAATGTGGATTGACTTTTTATGATACGCTGTACTAATAAAGGAAAGCTTCGCTAAATTTCTTTACTAGTTTTAATT